TCACAAGCAACGTGCCCACGAATGGTAGCTGAACCTCTCGGCTTGTCACGTGCACATTTTTCGCAGGCGAGTTCTCTCCGCGCATTTTTCTAAACGTGGAAGGAAACCCCGGACGGCCCCGGAGAACAATCCACGCGACCACGGGTAGAGGAAACATTCACACTCTGAATGTGCAGCAGGTGTCAAGGGTCGGGAACGAACCCACGACCAGGCGAGGTAGTTAAAGTATCGCCAGCCTCGTTCGCGGGACACTGATATATCACAGCGGGCCACGTGCACTGAAAGTAATACAACGCCCTTCTTGTGAAGGGGCGTGGGTTTTTTTTTACCCACGAGAAGTTGGGTCCCACGGCGAGGGGTGCAGCCGAGCCCCCGAGCCTCGGCGTGCTTTTGCTTGATGCTTTACGGCCTTGTCCGTGTGGGGCGTTTCTCCACCACCCCATGGATCGGCCACCGCCCGAGTCACGTCAGGTGAGCGCGCAGTCTGAAGGTGACTTTGGCCCCGTGTTGTGGTGAACTCGATGAACCCCGGGCCGTGAAACACAACAACATTGAGACGCGGAGGAATAAACGACTCCCGCAATAAACGCGATGGAGATTCGTATCGCTCCGTGGGGGTGGGGTGGGGGGGTCATCTCAAAGTTCACACAAACACCGTGGCTTGTTGCTTAGTTTGGAGCAATGTCCTTGTTATTGGAGAATGAATAGCTTAATTGACCTGCTGTACAGAACTCATTACCAAGTCTTTCCCCTCTCCAAGGTCACCTTCGCACGAGCCGGTGCCCCACAACTGCATCGCCACAGCTCACGCCCGTGGACATCAGCAGCAGCAGTGGCCACGCTCTATCCGCTGCTGAGTGAAGACCTCTCCGCGCCGATGCTACGATGCCACAACCACTCATCGCAGTCCTGAGATGCTGCCACAATTCATCTCTCAGCCCTGCCTGATCGCCTGACCTCTTCGCTCCAACAAAACGCTCCCCTCGATGCCGCGGCTCCACGCATCACGCCAGGATGTGACCTGGTCATGACATCGTAAACAGTTGACCCCAACCACCGGGCGGATGGGCAAATGGTTAAGCCACTCCGTGTCCCGTCCCCCTCGACCGCAGCTCCTTCGCGCAGACAACTCTCGCTGCGTCACATCTGCGACGCGATCGCGACCCCAGCCCCCGCGTGTCTTCATGCCCCCCGCCCCACGATTGCAAAATCAGTCCGCCCCACCCCCCTCCGCTGTTTGTAAAGTGGCGGCGGTGGTGGCGGCGGTAGTGGTGGTGGTGGCGGCGGTGGTGGCGGTGGTGGTGGCGGCGGTGGTGGTGGCGGCGGTGGTGGTGCCCTCAGTTCCGCGGCATCCCAGCGCGCACGGCTGTCTCAGCCTCGCAGTGGCTGCGCCATCGGTGGAGTCCGGGGCGGCTGCTTGACGAGCCAGCGGTGACAGGGAGTGACGGGGGTAGGAGGCGGGGGGGGGGCCCTGGCTTCTTACACAAGGGTCCAGCTTTAGTGGTGCGCACGCAGGGACCCGACAACAACAACAACATGAGACAGAGATGAATGCAAAAATGGTCACGTGCGTTACTTGATATATCTGATCTTATTTTTTTATAGTGCCTTTACGCAAGGCGCTTGACAGAGTAAAAAAACACACCGGTGAAACCATAGAATGGTTTAGATGGCAGGGGCATGCAACCAAAAAGTTACACTAAAATCTCAAGACTCGTTTGCAGGGTTCTGCAATATTGGGATGTGTATCCCGGACCGGTGGTTTGGTAGTTATCTTGAACCACAGAGAGACTCTCCTGCCCACAATTAAAATAAAAAAATCGACACATTCTGTCCTAAATGGACCAAAATAAAAATATAAAAATGTATAGGCGACGTTTTAGGCGATAGCCCTGTTGTCGCCGCATCTCTCTGCCATGGTGGTGCTGCTGGTGCGTGCGACTGCCGAGTCTGCGGGCTGGCGCTGACCGTGCCGTGCGCCGCTGCTCTGCAGCCCCGCATCAAGACGCGCGCGCGGCTCAAAAGGGCTGCTGAACAATTGGTCAACTGGCCGTCACCAGCACGAACGAGATAAGACTCGTGTGTGTCGCCTGCCGTGCTCTGACAATGGCGATTGTCTCCGCAAGAGAATCAAGTTCGAGAGGAATGAAACGGATCGATTGTCGGGACAATGTGAGACGGTGGGACGGATCTCTCCGTGGGAGACGCACCTCCGATTAGCACGGTTGGCTACGTACGGTGCGAGAGTAGTTCAACATGCATACGCTGAAGATAGCTAAAGATGAAAATTGTCTGTCATGGACATCAACCCTTAGGTTATTAGGATGACACTACAGAGATACAAGCAAATATAAATGAAACGTGCAACTTTACTCCATCAGCCTTTTAATTGGCTTGCCAGATCAATATAATCCACCAGCGTTCGTTGAAGTTTGCAAGCTCTGAACCGGGTTTGACCTCTTGGGTCTTATCAGCAGCCAGGATCCTCTAATAAATGAAACTTTTTTTTTTATCACGGTTCTGAGCGCAGGGCCCTAAGGCACAACATACCAAGTGGAGAGCAACAATTAAAGCTGAGATAATAATTAATACTTACATGTTTTTAAATTAGCCATGTTGTAAGAACTTGGGTAAGTAGACGATGGGAGAGAATTGCACAGTGGAGCAGTGCTGCTCGAGATCCATCAGCGAGAGAGAGATACGTGTTGTAGCCTGCAGTGTGGTGAGGGAGTGGCGGGAGTGAATAGGTGAGTAGGTGGGTGAGTGTGTATGTGGGTGAGTGTGTGTGGGTGGGTGAGTGTGTGTGTGGGTGGGTGAGTGTGTGTGGGTGAGTGTGTGTGTGTGAGTGTGTATGTGGGTGAGTGTGTGTTTGTGGGTGAGTGTATGTGGGTGTGTGTGGGTGAGTGTGTGTGTGTGGCTGGGTCATGTAGCCCACATGCCCAGCCACCGCATGCCTAAACAGCTTTTGTTCGGCCGGATCGAGGGGGCTAAATGGACGCGGCACGAGCTGGAGAAGAGATGGAGTGATGTGGTACAGGAGGACGTGGAGCTGAATGGACTTGCCGATCACTGGTACCAGCGGTGTCAAGATCGGCCTCTGTGGAGGAGGCTCGTGAAGGACACTACTGGGCAGTTGGAGGCAGTCGCCCTCCAGCAACAACGGAGGGCGGAGGAGCGACGCTCACAACAACGAGCGGAGCGCCGGGTGGCTAAAGCACAGCAAGTTGGCACAGTAGGGGGCACAGGTGGTGTATCAGCCAGTCATCTCGGTCATCTCAGTCAGTCGACCCGTGGCACCTGGGTCTGCCCCGTGACCTCCTGCCAGCGGGCGTTCGACACTTCACGTGGCCTCAAGGTGCACATGGCCTGGCGCAAGCGTCGTGGTGACGTCACCGCCACTTAGTGGCGAATGGCGGTTGTTGTTGTTGTTGTGTGGGTGAGTGTGTGTGGGTGAGTGTGCTGTTGTCGTTGTGAGCTGCAGTGTGGTGGTGGGTGAACACAATGTGGTGGTGGGTGAACAAAATGTGGATGATACGAAACGGTCAGCCACAGTGCCGGATTAAGCTAGGTGCGGGGCCTGTAGCATGTGATGTTTTAAAGGGGCCCTAAATAAAAAAAACACGTAAATATTAAAACACAAATGCTTAACTTGCACAGTAAAGTAATTGTATTTTTTTATTTGCTATACAGCCAGATAATACGACAAATCGCTAACCTTAAACACCCAGTTGTTCGTAAAAGTTGAAGGCGGTGTAGTACTATAGTATTATAGCAAGTGCAGAATCACTGAACTGAAATTTATAGCGTGAAAGCATTTAGCGCGGGGCCTTTGAAAGTGCGGGGCCCGTAGCTAATGCGCATGTAGTAGCTACATGTGTAGTAGCTACTACATATGTAGTAGCTACTACACATGTAGCTACCACATATGTAGCTTCCTTTGCTACTCGGATAACCCGGCTCTGGTCGGCCTGGTAGACGGCGGCGTCACCACGAGTGGAGGCAGCGGTAGAAGAAGAGAGTGTATCAGTGAATGCTGATTAATTAATCAAGCTGACGCTTTTGTGATGTACAGGTACACTGAGTGACCAGGTGTGCTGGGTGACAAGGTACAGGTGGTACCGTACTTGCATCTTCCCACGTCTCTACTCCGTGAAGTTTGGTCAAAGTTATCTTGACCATACTTCATCCAGCAGTGGAGTGACAATACGAGCTGTGCATGTACAACGCCCCGTCATGTACACAGAAGGCATTGCTTGCCAGGGACACGTGGAAGATGGATATGTGTGTACTCCTTGGATTAAATGCACGTCCCATTGTGATGTAGAAATCCGTGGAAGTTCCATCGGCAGTTGTGACTCCACGCTCCGGAGATCCGACTCCACGCTCCGTAGAAAGACGCTCCGCATTCCACGTTTTTCCCTTCACCACCACATGTTTGTAGCCAGCCCAAACCCAACCACCGTGTCACGTGTGCATCCACCCGCCGCTTGCACAACGCAACTTGCTTTCCTAAATATAGAGCAACATTAAAAAAAAAATCCACGTGCTTATTTTAATACACGAGCAACTATAGGCATGAGATACATTACAAATAAATATACAGTCTAATAATAACAACGTTTTATAACTTGACCAGCATGGTGAAGTATGGTCAAATTGCCATCAATGACCCACATATGAGTGAGGAGATGCCCTGTTCATCCAGCAGTGGATTCACAAAGCTGCTATGCAACATGCGCACACACGTACCCCCCCCTCCCCTCCCCCCAGAGAAACCACACAAACACATTTGCAACACGGCCAAGCAACACATAGTTGGAATGTACCAACGCGTGCCAACACAATCAGCGCGGGGGGGGGTGTTTTTTGACCAACCCCCTCCCCCTTGCCTGGGCTCGGCACTTGGGGTGGGTGGAGCCGTCCCCCACCCCCCCCCCAGACCACCAAAGCGGAGACGGCAGCGCCAACCCCCCCGCTCCAGCGCCACTGAATGGTCGCGCCCAGCTCCAGCTGCTGGTTAAATTTTGCAAAACAACCGAAGAATCAACAGATCAGAGCAAGTTGCGAGCGGGCAAGCGACTTCGCAGCGCGACTTCCACGGTAAACACACGTCTCTCTCGCTCCCCCTGTAACAAGAGAACCACCGTAGGCTACAGAGACACACACACACGTGTGTGGATGTAGGATACCGAGACCCATAAGGTGCCGCTGCATGCTAATGGAGTCAATCCCCGTCGTGGTCTAGAATTCGGCGCTACGCACGATACGGCGCGCTAACATAGCGGCATCGAGTAGGAATTGTATGTACTTGTGTGTGTGACGGTACATTGATGTACATTGAGATGTTGTGACACTACAGATTTTAACATGAATTGTCCGTATGTACGCAATGATGTGTATGTATGTAAGTGTAATGATGTGCGTGTTAATATTGTACATTGTGATACTTGTTTGTGTGTTTGCGTGCAACAGGGCGATATGTAAGTAATGTATACGTCGTGAGCCTATTAGCATTGAGCATGTAACACTTGTACACGCGTGTATATAGTTGTGTGTGTGTTAAACTACAGTGATTTAATCTAGCACGATTGAGGGCCATTTAAAGTGTGTGTGTAGTTAGTGTGTGTGTAGTGATATGTGTGTGTGTGTGTAGTGATATGTGTGTGTGTAGTGATATGTGTGTGTGTAGTGATATGTGTGTGTGTAGTTGGTGTGTGTGTGTGAACAACAGTGCTACAGAGTGCGTTACACTGGTACGAGTCGAGAAACACGTCCCATTGTTTGTCTCGGTGTCTCTTTGTTTAAATTGACACAACCCTTTGTTGAGGGGCAGCAGAGGTTAAGCCGCGCAAGCCGCCGCCGTTGTTGTCGTCGTTGTTGTCGTGGTGTTAATTGATGGCTGTGGTTGCTTATGGTACAAAAAATACATTCGCGATTTACATCACGACAGAGATCCGCAGTGTCGCCTTAACTGGCTGTTGGGCAAAGCGATGTTAGCGAGCACCTATTAAGGCCGGGGCGGTACACGAAGGGGATGGGTGGTCATCACCGCTCCCGACCGCCTTTGTCTTTCCAAAACATTTTTAATTACACCTCACCCAAGGTATGCTCCAAAAGAGTTTTTTTTGTGTTAGATCGTGTACATTTACGTTAGATCGTGTACATTTACGTTAGATCGTGTACATTTACGTTAGATCGTGTACATTTACGTTAGATCGTGTACATTTACGTTAGATCGTGTACATTTACGTTAGATCGTGTACATTTACGTTAGATCGTGTACATTTACGTTAGATCGTGTACATTTACGTTAGATCGTGTACATTTACGTTAGATCGTGTACATTTACGTTAGATCGTGTACATTTACGTTAGATCGTGTACATTTACGTTAGATCGTGTACATTTACGTTAGATCGTGTACATTTACGTTAGATCGTGTACATTTACGTTAGATCGTGTACATTTACGTTAGATCGTGTACATTTACGTTAGATCGTGTACATTTACGTTAGATCGTGTACATTTACGTTAGATCGTGTACATTTACGTTAGATCGTGTACATTTACGTTAGATCGTGTACATTTACGTTAGATCGTGTACATTTACGTTAGATCGTGTACATTTACGTTAGATCGTGTACATTTACGTTAGATCGTGTACATTTACGTTAGATCGTGTACATTTACGTTAGATCGTGTACATTTACGTTAGATCGTGTACATTTACGTTAGATCGTGTACATTTACGCGATTTAATCCCCCCCCCCCCCAAAAAAAACCTGGATATTGGTCGCGAAAACCCACGTGTTAAAGCAAGGTACGGTATTTATTTTAGGCCGAGTGTACCTAGAGGAGGCCCAATACCGGTTCAAATATTCGCCGCTCTTATTGGGCGTGAGCGGGAATGTGAACAGACAAAGACAGACAGACACACACACAGAGACAGACATACACACAGACACACACACAGAGACACAGACACACACAGAGACACAGACACACAGAGACACAGACACACACAGAGACACACACAGACACACACACAGAGACAGACATACACACAGACACAGACAGACACACAGAGACACAGACACACACAGACACAGACACACACAGAGACACAGACACACACAGACACACACACACACAGACACACAACAACAACCGCCATTCGCCACTAAGTGGCGGTGACGTCACCACGACGCTTGCGCCAGGCCATGTGCACCTTGAGGCCACGTGAAGTGTCAAACGCCCGCTGGCAGGAGGTCACGGGGCAGACCCAGCAGGTGCCACGGGTCGACTGACCGAGATGACCGAGATGACTGGCTGATCAGAGACACACACACAGACACACACACACACACAGAGAACACACACACACAGAGACACACACACACAGAGACACACACACACAGAGAGACACACACACAGAGAGACACACGCACACAGAGACACACACACACAGAGACACACACACACAGAGACCCACGCACAGAGACAGACACACGCACACAGAGACAGACACACGCACACAGAGACAGACACACGCACACAGAGACAGACACACGCACACAGAGACAGACACACGCACACAGAGACAGACACGCACACAGAGACAGACACGCACACAGAGACAGACACGCACACAGAGACAGACACGCACACAGTTACACACATACAGAGAGACACACACTCAGAGAGACACACACGCACACAGAGACACACACACGCACACAGAGACAGACACACGCACACAGAGACAGACACACGCACACAGAGACAGACACGCACAGTTACACACATACAGAAAGACACACACGCACACAGAGACACACGCACACAGAGACACACACACAGAGACACAGAGACACGCACACAGAGACACACACACAGAGACACACACACAGAGACACACACGCAGAGACACAGACACACACACACAGAGACACACACACAGAGACACACACACAGAGACACACACACAGAGACACACACACAGAGACACACACACAGAGACAGACACACAGACACACACACACAGAGACACACACGCAGAGACACAGACACACACACACAGAGACACGCAGAGACACGCAGAGACACACACACAGACAGAGACACACACACAGAGACACAGACACACACACACAGAGACACACACACACAGAGACACACGCACACAGAGACACACACACACAGAGACAGACACGCACACAGAGACACACACACACAGAGACACACACACACAGAGACACAGACACAGAGACACAGACACACACACACAGAGACACACACACAGAGACACAGACACAGAGACACAGGCACACAGACACCGACACAGAGACACACACACAGAGACACACACACACAGAGACACACACACACAGAGACACACACACACAGAGACACACACACAGAGACACACACACAGAGACACAGACACACACACACAGAGACACACACACACAGACACACACACACAGACACACACACACAGAGACAGACACACGCACACAGAGACACACACACACAGAGACACACACGCACACAGAGACACACACGCACACAGAGACACACACAGAGACACACACACACAGAGACAGACACACGCACACAGACACACACACACACAGAGACAGACACGCACACAGAGACACACACACACAGAGACACACACACAGAGACACAGACACAGAGACACAGACACACACACACAGAGACACACACACAGAGACACACACACAGGGCAGCAGGGGCAACACGTTGTTCGCCAGCCCCGGGGTGTTGTGGACAGAGGGGGCATCGCCAATGGCCCCGCCCATTGCGAGCCGTGTGCTCGCCTGTGCAGCTCTGGGGGAGACAAAGGCGGCCCAGGGCGGCCCAGGGCACAGTCTCGTCCCCTGCCCCTACGAAGTGCATCACGAACAATAGAAAGTGGCATTACGGATCGTGGTGTGCCGCTTGGTATCGTCGCACTCTGAGCGGGGGCCGCATGCAAACTGTGGTTCATGGTTTGAGACGGCACGGTAGTAGATGGTGATGATGGTGATGATTGTGGTGGTGGTGGTGATGGTGGTGGGGGTGATGATGATGGTGGTGATGATGATGATGGTGGTGATGATGATGGTGGTGGTGATGATGGTGGTGGTGGTGATGATGATGGTGGTGATGGTGGTGGTGGTGATGATGATGGTGGTGATGGTGGTGGTGGTGATGATGATGGTGGTGATGATGGTGGTGGTGGTGGTGATGGTGGTGGTGATGATGATGGTGGTGGTGATGTCGCAGCTCCGGGTGGCGTGAGTTTGAAGGTGGAGAGAGAGAGGGAGGAGGAGGAGGCGGCGTTTAAATGGGCGAGTGTTGACCGAGTCGGGCTTGGCGTGCACTTTATTATATTTATTTAGCACAGTTATTTTTGGTTCGCGATAACTTGCGGTGTGTGAGTTTGTGTGCGTGAGTTTGTGTGCGGGTGTACGTGTGAGTTTGTGTGCGTGGGTTTGTGTGCGGGTGTACGAGTGTGTGTGTGTGAGTGTGTGTGTGAGTGATGGGGAGCGGTGGTGTAGCGGTTAGCGCGCTGCGCTATGAACCTGGCGACCCGGGTTCGATTCCCGCTCACGGCTAACACCAGTGACGATTATCTGAACCGGTCCTGGGCCTCCCCTAGGTCGACTCAGCCTTAAATGAGTACCTGGTGCGGTGTGTATACATCGCCACTAGGGAGACAAAGGCGGTCGGGCGTGGTTCTGGCCACCCACCCCCTCGTGTACCGTTCCGGCCTTCATAGGTGCTCGCTAACAGCACTTGCCCCTACAGTCTGTTCAGGCTATACGAGGGATCTTTGTCTTTTGTGTGAGTTTGTGTGCGTGGGTTTCTGTGCGGGTGTACGAGTGTGTGTGCGTGAGTGTGTGTGTTTGTCTTATGTTTGTGTGTTTGTCTTGTGTGTGCGTGAGTTTGTGTGTTTGTCTTGTGTGTGCGTGAGTTTGTGTGTTTGTCTTGTGTGTGCGTGAGTTTGTGTGTTTGTCTTGTGTGTGCGTGAGTTTGTGTGTTTGTCTTGTGTGTGCGTGAGTTTGTGTGTTTGTCTTGTGTGTGTGTGAGTTT